GCAACGGGGGGTTTTGGAGGCAGAGGCAGTCACTGCTGGCAGCGTGGTGGTGGCCGGGCCTCCAGGTAAGCGGCAGCGCCATGTGGAGACTTAAGGCCAGCCCCCACTCCCCACCTGCATATGGTTGAATTTGCGCAAGTTAAATGCACATTTGATGTGACATGCCTGTATTTTTATAACATTATTTTTTCCCACTGAAACATTCCTCTGGAAGCAAAATACAGCAACATCGTGGAATATCTGAAAGATAAACTATTAAAGTTTATCAGTCTTAGTCTTAGTTCAGCTTTCTAGGCGAAACGTGGTACCTTTTTATTTTGTGAGATTTCATTTTTAGCAATAGGCAAATAACTTTAGCCCAAAGTATTATCCTGTCCTCTTTCAACATAAAACTTTAGTTCCCTAAACCAATAGTTTATCAGAAATTAAAATTTTATCCTTTTTCATAATTAGTTTATGTTAAAATAACATACAGTGAAACAAAGTATTTATGGAACACGGCATGCTTTCAACATCTAAACAAATGCCTATGTCTGGGAGTACAGTTAAGCTGAATATATTCAGCATGTGAAACAAAACACTGCATATCAGTAAGGCAAGAGATTTCTGTAAATTCTAACACATCTAACAGAAGTAAAATAAACTGACAAAACCAACTTATATATTACTTTTTGTCTGTTTATCATAATATCCTATAGAAGTATTTGTCTGAACTGGCTTGTAAGTGAAAGAGAAATGCAAGTCACCTTTTCTGAAATGTATATATCATTAGTAAAGACTATACCACCTTGTGTACGTGTTTCTCTGTGCAGTGGTAGATCAGGCAAAATACCAGTTTTAGAAGAGAATTTGCTCAAACTGGAAGAGAAAATTTCCTTTTTTAGGTCTAGCATTCTTAATGCTGCCTGACTTCTCATGTATCCTAGCTGAAATTTAGAGAACTGGCTTCCAGGTAGCTAAGAGGTTGCCTTGACTGGCTGAAATGGAAGTTCTTCATATCAAGAAACTGCAACATTTCCAGGAAGCAATTAAGTTAATTGATGGAAGACAAAATAATTCTGTTGTATGTTTAGTCTACCAGTTTCTTGGGAAAGAGCATGAGCTATCAAAATAAAAAAGAAATCAATTTTTCCTTATTCTATTTCCCCCACAGAAGCTGGTGCTGCCATATACAAATCTTTTGCATAGTTAAAAATGGAAAGCTCTAAACTAGAGATGAACACAGAAATGTCACAGTGAAATAACATGTGCCATATCATGTTGTAGTGATTCTCAACCAAGGTGCCTGGGCTATGGAGACCCTTTGAAGGTGACACCAGGTGTGAGGAAATAAACAGATAAGCATGAGCTCAGGCTTGTCCCTGCCTGTCCATTCTCCCGTCTCCACTGCCCAGCCACTCTGCAAGGAAATAAGCACAGTTATATATAAAATTAGTTTTTGAAACTGTATGCCACTCATTTCACAAAAGTTATGAAGGGGTGCCTCAAGTTCAGTGCAGGGTGCCATGACTCCAAAAAGGTTGAGAACAACTGACATATTGTCACATATGTTACAAATCTAATGCATTATATCTCCCATCTCAAGGAAAATTATATATGTTTTTCTATTCTCCAAATCGTGTTTCTCAAAATGAAAATTTATTTTCAAGATATCTATGATGTGGTGACTTGACTTGTCTTGGACCATTTTTCTTATCAGTGTATCCATAAGACATTTTAAAAATAACTTTGGATCCCCAAACTCTAATATTTATTATAACTGAATACAGGATATTAATGATGAAGGGGACTTTTCAAGTAAATTATTTGTGGACTGCCATGAACAACTGGTGCCTCCCGCAACTGGAGGGGCACCATGGCAGCCAGCAGGGACCGCCCAGAGCTGCCCCACACAGTGTCGGCAGCGGGCAGGGGGAGAGGCAGCAGCAAGCAACAAGCAAGGACCACCCACAGACGCCACCAGCCATGCTGGTGGCAAGGAGTGGGGACAGGTGCCAGCAGCAACCGCCCTCAGAAGCTGGCGGTGGCCAACCTCGGGGGGGGGGGATGTGCCCCCCCCCCCACATGTCGTCTATGTGGACTACAAAGCCCATTGCAGTCAATGGTAGGTTTTCTATAGACCTGCTGGGCCCTGTCAGAGATCTGTTGTTCAGTCTTTTGCCACCAAAGGACATGTAGGACATGCACTTGGCCCAATCAAGATTTAAATGTCATAAGCAATAAAGATTCCTCACTTTCCATGAGAACATATTTTAATAAATGTCAGAGTCAGGAAATTTTGAAAGATGTTCTAAATTACTCTTCTTCTTATCCTACCATTTCTAGTTAGAGTTACATGTATTACAAGATTTTAATTTTTCTCCTTACTAAATCAACATATTTTCTTTCCCTCCTTATATCAGTCCTCCAAAAACATGTAACTATCCGATTTCCATTAGTCATATCTAGCTCTTTTGCTTTATAAAATTCAACACTAGTACAGTGCCTACACTCAAATGGAGTCATGACATAGTTATACGTAAAAATAACATCACTGAATTGTTCCACTGCTATGTGACCTGGAAAAATGCAACAATGTTGAATTTTACTCAATTTTTTCAATATTTAGATTTAGTTCAGTGAACTTGAAAATGGCTGGTTCAAGCTGCTTTGTATATATTCTGAATCCTTTGCCCAGTTCAATTTAAATCCAACTTATATTCTAAACAATTACCCATATGAATAGTTTTATTAAATGGATCTTTATATTTTATTAAATGGAGTCGTGCTTTGCACTAATGCAAAATCAACAGTATAATTTTCCTTTGCATGCATGTCTTCAATAGTCTATATTTAAATTAAACTAACCTATATTTTAATCTTTAAAGACACTCAGAATCATATTAAGCTTTCTGTCCAAAGACCCGTTAATGTCTTCCCACAGCAAGGTATTTTTGCCATTTTGTTTTTAGAAATGCAAATACTTTATGCAGCTATTCCAAAATTAAATTGTGGCTTATTGCAAAAACCAATCTACTTAGTCTGTTACAAAAATTTTTTTTGCAAAATTTTTTTGCAAAAAAAGAGCAAAAATTTATTCTGATAATGATGAACAGGCCAACCAAGTCTCTGCAATGATAGACTTTGATTAAAATACAACATTCATTGTCACCAGCCATGACAGATGAACATCAAGACTCCAGGATACTGTTGAGATTGGATGGCATCTTCAAAAAAGCTTCTGTAATGTTTCCATTTTTCAAATACTTTCTGGCTAGGAGGCACGGAATACTATTCTCTGCTCTGTTTTGTCCACATTACCAAATATCCTCTCTACTCCACCCTACTTACCCAGTCAAAGATAGGAATGCACACTTTCTTTCAGTATTTGCGTTACAACCTCAACTTCAACTGAAAAACATTTTGTATGGTTAAGTAGAGTAGGTGTAAAGAAATCCCTTGCACTCCCTGATCTTGGAGGGGCCTTCAACCTCGGTCATTTTCACTCAAAGAACAAAGTACTCAAAGCAACCATCCTTGACCTCCAATATGCCAAGGACTGTGCCACCCTTGCACACACACAAGAAAATCTCCAGAACTTTTCAGAGAAACCTACCAAATGTTGGGCTTCTCTCTCAATACCGAGAACTATGGTGCTCTATCAGCCAGCCTTGGCCCATGATTGTGATCCACTCCCCAAATTACCATTGAGGGGAAGATCCTGCAGGTAGTTGAGCACTTACCTACTTCAGTAGCCACGTCTTTCAGAATGAACATTGATGAGGAGAGCCAGCACAGGATCTGGTGTGCAAGTGTCTCTTTTGGGAAATTGCTTTGGTATGTCTTTATTCATTGTGATCTCCAAAAAGATACCAAGATCCAGGTCTACAATGCAGTCATTATCCCCACCCTCCTCTACAGATGTGAAACTTGGATGACCTATCATTGTCATCGCAAGAGCCTGGAGAGGTATCACTGTTGCCTCCATCTTCCTCACATCAAATGGGAAGATTGCAACACAAATGCCAGCATCCTTGCTGAAACCAATGCTACCAGCTTTGAGCCAGTGATCCTCAAGTACCAACTTCATTGGACTGGACATTCACTGGACTGGACTGAGGGTGCATATGCCTGAGTCTCAATTCCCAAAACAAGTACTCTGCTCTCAGCTTACTAACAGCCTAAGATCTTGTGGTGGCCAGAAAAAAATGCTACAAAGACACATTGAAGGCATACCTCCTGAAAATGAATGCCAACATCAAGACTTGAGAAACAACTGGCTCCCACAACTGACAGCTGAATCCAACGGCACCACACCCTCAACCAAACAGCCCATTTCAAGGTAAATCAACTTGCCCTTGAAGCAGAAAAGAGAGAGAAAGGAAAAGGAAATGAATCTCATCC